GCCCATGTCCCCCCACACGGCCCCGGCCCCCCTCGCCCCCCCCCCCGTCCGAGAGCCCCCCACAGCTGTCCCGGCGGGCTGCCCGCACGCCTGCCGCCCCGCCTGCGCCCCTGCATGCGGGGCCTCATCACCACCTCCCACCGCAGCCCGCGCTGTCAGCCCCGCAGATGAGTGAGCCATAAACAGTCCTTCATGGAGACGTTTTTCACACGCAGGGCCACATGTTAACAGTTTTTCTTTATTTACTGCCTCCATTTCCTCTTTGTTCCAGGAACTTGTCCTCCAACTTCAAGCTGCTCATGATTAGGCAAAAAGGCCTCTAATCTCCCCGATCTGATTTACCGTCACTGAGAGCAGACGCTTCCCGTTACTGGCCCTGGACCTGGGAGCATGGACAGCCGAGCTCTGCCGGCTGCTGAGCTGAGCCTCTCCTCCCCAAACCTGCCCCACTGCACGCGCTGCCTTCCCAGCAGCTTCCTCTTCCAGTAAGCGCTGGGCAGCCCAGCCGGTCATGCCGCAGGTGAAGGGCTGGCGGGGAAGTGCAGCTGTGGGGCCCTGGGCTGGGGACCCCACCGTGTCTGGGGCAGCTGCCCCGGGGCAGGGCAGGCTCTGGAGCCGCTCTCTGCTCCCTCGGGAAGGGCCGGCTGGCTGGAGCATCCCTGGGCTGGGGCCTCCCCAGCTGCTCACCCATCCGCTGCTCCCGGTGGAGGTGGCCGGGTGGCCCTGGGGTGCCCCACGGGGCCACTGGGCCAGCTGCAGCGCTGTGCCCAGCGTGGGGAGAGCACCCATCCTGGCCACGCTGGTCATCTCGTCGCCTGCACGCGTAGGTTTGGGAGACCTGAGGGGGCTGGCTTGGGGCTCTGCGCTGCGCAGCCCCCACCACCAGCCCAGGCAGGGCCTGGGGTCCACAGTCACGCAGGGAGCTCCTCCGCTGGGAGGCAGCCATATCCTTCGCATGACCTTGCAGCGTGGCAGGGCCTCCTCCGTGGATCCCTGTGTCCTGCCAGCCCCCCCCAGGGCCTTTCCCCCGGGGCTGCAGGCTGGGACCCGCCTCAGGGGTGTCCCCCGGCCACCAGCACCCAGCGAGCCTCCTGACCATGTGGGGCCCAGCAGGGCCTTGGTGGGGGCTCGGTGGGGCCAGCACCGGGGCCCGTGGGAGGGCTCGTGGCCACATGTGGGGCTGGGCAAGCCAAGGCCGCCGGCATGGGGGCGG